TTCTGTGAAATTTTTTCGCTTCTTGATGGTATATTTTGCAGCACCAAATTTAAATTTAATACAGTCCATTTTATCTGTTGTTGTTTGTTTTCTTTAGCCACTTGTGTTTTTGGTGTGTAACAGACTATTGCCTAATTCAAGCATATGAAAATTTACTTCATTGTTTTAAGAGTATTTAATTTAATTCTTACATTTGTATCTGTAATCTATTCTGAGTTAATTTTTGTAAGTGGTATAAGAAAGGGGTCTATTGTCATGAGTATCCAGTGTTCTCATCACTAATTATTGAAAAAGATTATTGATTACCCACTGAATTGCCTTAGCACTCTTGTTGAAAATCAACTGATCACAACCGTAAGGGATTAATTCTTGATTTCCCCCTAAATTCCATTGACCTCTGTATAGCTCTCCTTATACCAGTACCACATTGCTTAGATTGCTGTAGTTTTGTAGTAAGCTGGGATTAAAAAAAGAGATTTATGGGGCTGGAGAGATGGCTCAGCGGTTACGAGCACTGACTGCTCTTGTAGAGGACCCGGGTTCGATTCCCAGCACCCACATGGTGGCTACGAACTGTCCTTAACTCCAGTTCCAGGGGAATTTGATGCCTTCTGACCTCCTGTGCTGGATAGCTTTAGTGTCAACTTGACACACCTGGGTTGAGGGAGCCTCAATTGGGGAATTGCCTCTATTGGACTGGCCTGTGGCCATGTCTGAAGGGCATCTTTTGATGAGTGATGTGGGAGGGCCCAGCCCACTGTGGGTGGTGCCACCCCTGGGCAGGTGGGGCTGTGTTGCATAAGAAAGCAGGCTGAGCAGGGGCCAAGGGAGCAAGCCAGTAAGCAGCCTTCTTCCATGGCCTGCACTCCAGCTCCTGCTTCCAGGTTCCTGCCCTGAGTTCCTACCTTGGGCTCCCTGAAGAACTGCAACCTGGCAGTTGTAAGCTAAATAAACCCTTTCCTCCCCAAGTTGGTATTGGTCAGAGTGTTTTGTCACAGCAATGAAGAAACAAACTAGGACACCTCTGCAGCATTGCAGGACACGGGTGCATTCACATACATGCAGGCAATACACTCATACACATAAAAAATAATAAATAATTTTTAAAAAGATTTATTTATATATTGATGAGCACAAATATTTTGCCTTTATGTATGCAAGTGCACCATCTATGTGCAATGCCTGAAGAGGCCAGAGGAGTTGGATGCCCTGGAACTGGACTTATAAGGGTTGTGAGCCACCATGTGGGTGGTGGGAACCAAAGTTGGGTTCTCTGGAAGAGCAGGAAGTGCTCTTAACTGCTGAGCCATCTCTCCAGCCTGTAAGCTAGAATTTTTTATAGGGGCCACATGAAAACTGCAAATCCACTTAGAGAGTACTACTTTAATATATTGTTTTCCAATCCATGAACATAGGATGTCTTTCCATCCACTGAGATTTCCAGTAATGCCTTTTAATGAGTTTTCACTATTTATTTATTTGTTTATTTGCTATTCATTTTAGTTTTTTGGGTTTTGGCACAGGGGCTCAGTATGTAGCTTGCATCAAACTTGCTATGTAGTTCAGAATGGCCCTGAACTCATGATCCTCCTGCCTGAGCCTCCTAAATTCTGAGATTACAGATATTAAGTACCACACTTGAACTCTTATTTTAATGTGAAGTCCTGTTACCTATAGCCAGATCATGTTAATAGATTTTGAGTTTTGTGTTTCAGTGAGAGCTTTCCATTTTGGAGACAGAGAAATAAAAGCTTCAGATTAAAAAAATCTTTATATAATGGAAGGTAACAGGTCTGTCAATTGAGTGGTAATTTGAAAATAAGAATTGTAGGAAGTCATATTTTTCATTTTCTCCATTTGTAAATAGGGCAGATGATCAGAAGTTCAGCCACATTGTAAGGAAGGCATGTGATATATCCTAGAAGAAAAGGGAAATGCTTTGCTGTTGTTGCTTGAGACAGGGCCTCACTGTGTAGCTTTGGCCAGCCTGGAACTCACTATATATACCAGGCTGCCTTGAACTGTCAATAGTTCTGCCTCTGCTGGGATTACAGGTATGGGCTACCATGTTCAGTTCACATTTAAAATTATTTATATTTTCCTATAATTCACATTTTAAAATTATTTCTATATTTCCTATAGTTTTAAAGATAGACATTTTAAAAGTTTAGAGTCTAAACTTATCCTCTTAGCTTCCTTACTTAGGAATAAATATTTCATTAAAATATAGCCTACTTTGGGGGATCAAGACCATACTGGTCTACTTAGTGAGTTCCAGGACAGTCAAGGGTCACAGTAAGACCCTGCCTCAAAACAAAAATGAAAAGAATAAAGGAATCAGAAATAATTTTA